CAGCTCCCTGTTGGTTTTGCCCCCTCCACCCCATTGCCAGCAGGGATGCCTGCAGCCCATGAAATGGTCCTGGGAATGCCTCCTAGCAGGAAAAGCATGGCTAGAGTCTCAGCTTCTCCTGCTGTGCTCAACTAGATCTGGCCACTTTAAGGTGATTGTCCATATGCCGTAAACACACTTTTTTTTTGGTGTTCTGTATTGTTTGAAGATTTTTCTTTGTTCTGAATTTTCCAGCACTCTTCTCTGAAGACAGCTTCCCAAACCCAAGACCTGCCCAGCACCTTGTCAGGGATTCATCCAGATGACTCACAGGATACATGTAATTTCTGTAATTTCTGTGCAGTAGTAATTCCCTCTGGTTAGAGCTGGAAGCACAGAGCTATGTGACCAGAGAGAGATGACTCACTAGGCGACCTTCAGATTATGCCTTTTGGGGAAGATATTTCAAAGGAAGGAGAGTTCTAACACAGGAATAGATGGTCTTAAGTTATGGTTAACGCTTTCACAGGATGTTATGAGCTGGCCAGAAGAGCGTGTGCCAGGAATGGGGCAGGAGCTCACAACTGACCTGAGCTGGCTGTAGTTAGGACAAAAAACCCAGTTTAGGACAAAATACAACTTGGGCCACATGAAGCTTCCATGTCCCCATTGCAATTCCTGCTGTCCCTGCTGTAAGAATGACATGAATTTGGGTACAGACTAAATGTGTCATTCAGGTTCATTTTCTCTGGGTTTATTCCTTTAGTCCATGCAGTGCAGAAAGTGATCACAAATAATCTTATATGGTAAGGAAAGAAGTAAGGATGTCTGAGGATTGATTTGCAACTGTTGAATAAAAGCTGCCTAAGATATTAAAACATGGTGGGTTTACCTGAAGTCACGAGATTCTGATATTAGTAAGAGGGCACATATACATAAGAGTGATGTTTTATTCTCATTTTGAAGATATAAATCTTCCAAATAATGCAGGCTGCCTGCATGGGAAGGTTTGCTGATTCTTGCTGTGTGATTCTTTGCAATTTTTTATTTACCCTCTGGCAGACCCTGGGGTAATATTTGTTTAGAGTCTTTAATAGTTTTAGAAATGTGTTCTCCTCACTCAGCTAAAAAAAGGGAGTTTTAAAGGTGCAGATTCCCTTCTTCGTGTGACACTCTCCCTGTGCAGAAGTAAGTCTGTTAAAACACCGAGAATTTAGTGAATTTCCTGCCAACAGAATACTGGTATATAGCAAAGTATTGCTCTGATATTTTTCCCCTTGCCAAAGGGAATGACTGTCCTATTGATCTCTCCCATGCTACAGGTTGGGAGATGAAGACAGATTTCAACCATTTTTTACTGTAGTGGCAGTTTCCTGATGTAATCCAGGATTATTCCCTGCTGGCCAAACAAGAGCTGACAAAAAAAGGCCAGCCCTCAGCTGAGCATCTGATTCAAAAGAAAATTCAGCTGAAAGGCGAGCATTGGAAAGATGAGTCAATACAAAAGCAAGCAGCAGCTCTGGATTTAAGCAGAAGACCACAGCATTTAACCTACTTTAGCAGATCAATGCAGTGGATTTTTAATCATCACATTAATCCTAAAATAAAAATAATTACCCCAGAGATTGGTATTAAAGTCCCTTAATTATATCTCATTTCATCATCCTTTTTACTTGGGATCAGAAGCTACAGAGACCAGAGCTTCCCGATGTCATTTCTCCAGTTTGTGGTTTGACTCTCCTGTTAGGACTTCAGCTCTAACTACAGGGATGAGGCACTGGCCTTGCTGAGAGGACCCACACCCCATCCCACCTGGGAGAAAACTGAAAAGGGCAAAAAAGAAGGTGGACAGGATTCTGCTTTTCAATGACACTGCATAAAGCTGCAAAGGAAGGAGTGGGGAACATTACACAGTGGGTGAAAAATGTGTGAATGCCTAGAAATTCAATCTCTACACTGTCCCCTTCTTCCAGCAATGCCAGGAGCCCATTAACGTCCCATAAGGGGAAAGAGAGAACTTTGACCAGCGGCTGGGCCCCTTATCAAATTTCACTGAGAAGAGTTTATTTCCTGGAGCATCCTTTCCTGTACACAGTCCTGCCACCCCCACAGATGCTCTGGGAACATGGCTATGGGCAAGTGCAGGACCCTGAACCTCCACGGACAGCCTCAGGTGGGATTTCATGGCCATCAAACCAGCCCATTCCCTGCTTGAAAGGGCAAGTGGCATGGCACAGCTTACAGCCACGCAGCAAACTCTCCCATTTTCCTCCCAGAAAAGGATACCTTTCTCCACTCTGCTCTTTGGGACCAGTCCTGAGTCTGTGCTGTCACCTGCATTGTGCCCAAGCTGCTTGTTTTAGATCACAATTCCCTGCCTTGATGGCCTTTACCCATTTCCACCATCTTCTTGCAGAGAAAAGAGCTACCCTGGTGTTATATTTAGACTTAAAAGCACTGTACACTTGCTGAAATAGTACTTTAGAGCAATTTTCAGGTTTCTCCAAATACATGGGGGAATTTCTCCCTGCTGCCTTGGGAGGAGGCCATGGGGCCTGCTGTTGCTGCAGGTGTTGGGGTGCAGGCAGAAGGCATCCCAAACAAACAGCACGTGGAATCCTGGCGAGTAAATGGCTGCGGGTTCAGGCAGCGACCCCAAGCTCCACCTTGGCAAGTGGCACCAGGGCTATAAATATCCCGCTTCCCCTCTCCAAGGAGCCTCTCCAAAACCGCCAGGTACAAGTTAAAACATGTCCAAGGAGCCTCACAGCCGGAATCAGCTTCTAGCAGGGGGCTTAACACCGGAGGTTTGTGAAGTGCAAGAGTAATTAAAGGTTACAGCTGCCCCTGCACGGAGCTCTCTGGCAATCAGACTGCCCTGGAATGCTCACCAGAAGGTACTGCAGGGTGTTAAGAGAGAGGTAGGGAAAGGAAAGCTGAAAAAAAAATAAGTACCTTCATATTAATATTGTGGTAACAATGCAGGCTGCTGCTTAAATCACCTTTCTGTCACCAAAACCTTACAGCCACATCCTGCATTTTTATTTCCATGGAAGGCGGGAACTACCAATTCCTGGCAGAAAGAAGCTGAGGTGGGGTTTTTTTTTTTGGTTTTTTTTAATCCTGTACTGAGTTAGGGGAGCCTTCTATGAGAGTATTTTCACATTATTAATTTAAAAAAAATAAAAAGAAATAAAGAAAAAAGTAAAATAAACAAATCACTGCAAGCTGTAATTAAAAAAAAAATAAAAAAATAAAAGTAATATTTTCCAGTCCAAGTGACAAAATATATGCTTTTCTCCCTACTTGAGACTCTTTGATGGCAGAGGGCTCAGAACCAGATTTTCTCCTTGCAACCCCAGGAACTGGACAACAGCCTTTTTTCATTCCCTTATGATGACAGGAGAGGTTCCCAGGGCATGAGGCAGGACAGAGGCAGGCCACAGAGATCACTCAGTGGAAGAGTTTTTGGTTGCATCTTCCCATAATTTCATCTTTACTCTGCCATTTTTCATTTCAGTTTGTACTTGTGATTTATTTTTCTTCTCTCTAACCCTGTTGCAGTGATTTTGACTTTGGAAAGCAAGTGTTAGTAGGACTGTTAGGCCTCCAGGACAAATGGGAAAAACCGAGAAAATAAGGCAGGATGAGACCCTGACCTGGCCATAAAATTATATTCTTAACACTGGGGAAGCTTAGTACTACCCTTGTCTACCTACCAGGTTCCCGAAACTCCCCAAATATGGAGATTTTATACCTCCTCAGGTAATTATTTTCTTTAAAAGTTCCCCATCATGATTCAATCCAAATATTTCCTGCTACAACAAAAAACAATAAATACCTCTCTCTAAACTCTCACAAAGTGAGTGTTTAGAGACAGGTATTTATTGGTTTTTTTCTTCTAAGATTTGAGTACTTTAAGTCAGTTATCCTTTCTCCCCTCCCATTTTCTCCAAGCCAAAAAAAACCCCATGTTTTCTACACTTCTGCTGATTCTTGCTTCTTCCAGCTGAGGAAGTCACATCTTTCTGGAGCTGAGGTGCCCAAAAAAATCAGAGTCCTCCAGACAAGGCCTTGTGCTACACAAGGCACACAAATTGCTCTGTGGAAAAACAACACCCCTGTCTAAACATATCAATATCATGCTTGCTTTTCCCTCCCAGAGAGAAACGTTGGCTGATTTGCCAGCATTTTGCTTGCTTTTGGCACAAGGCAAACAACTACATGAGTTGCAAGCAAGGCAAGAACCAAACCATTTCTCTCTCCTGGCAGAATGCAGCTTAATTCCAGTAAAAAATTCCACAGCAGCTGCCTACACAACTGAAACACTTACCTCAAAGCACGTAAGGGAAACATTCATCTTCATAAAATCATGCAAGCTGTAACTTCTCAAACTAGGTTTAAGTAAAATAAACTCTGCATGGGTCAAGGTTAAACATTTATAGAGCCCCATTGGTGTTTGCTGTGAAAAGAGCATTTTCAGATCAAAGACTGATGTGCTCTACAGCGAAGCAGTCTCAGCAGCAATTCATAAGAACACAGCAGTGCAAAAATAAAGTGCTCTCTCGGTTATCTGGAACATTAATATTGATTTTAGGAACTGCATCTGCATGTTTGTTTCTAAAGACATTGAAGTTTCAGCAATGAACATGCTACTTCAATTCAACCTCTCGAGCCATTTCAGCCCAAACTTACACAGAGTGGGAAGCCTTGTAGGGGGCAAATACTCAGGTGGCATGAGTCTGTTTAAGTTGAATACAAACCCATATTTTTGCCGCAGCTGAGGATTAAAACATAATCCAGGAAACTCACAAAACATTATATTCTGCCTAACCTTCTCCTGCACTCACAATCTAACAAACATTACAGATGCTGGATGCAGCTTCCCAGACTGACAAGATATTGTTATCATCAGCAAACCACTGAGAAGTGGTTTGAAGTGCTATAATGGTTTGCCTGGGGCTCCATCTCCCCTCAGGCTGACCAGACAACTTTTCCTATTCCCTCTGATCCCCCCTTACCTCTTGAGATAGTTTCTCCCGTAGAGGATCTGCTGCAGCAAGGTGACCACGGCAAAGGCGCAGATGAAGATGAAGAACAAAGTTCTGTTTCCCAGCAAATCCCGGCTTGATGAAGGGTCAGTGTATCCCATCCTTCTTAAAAGCCACTGAAGCTTCGCTGAGTAAAATTCAGTTCATTGCCACCTTCATGCCCTTTTTGCTGGGGAGTGGAGGGGAATGCCTGCTGGCTTTTCTGAGAGCAATCCAAGGATAAGGTATCCCATTGTTTTGCCCTGGTGCCCCTTCCTTGCCCTTTTTGGATGTTAGCTCCAGGACTGTGCGCAGTGGCTTGCTTCCATGGTAAAGTTTCCAGGAGATTCAGACGTGGGTAACATCTAAAATCATCTCTCAGAGCTCTCTCAGCGCAGGCAGCCTGTGCTGTGTGAGAGGCATTCTGTTCCCTCTAAGCCTCTCTTGAAAACCCGCTGCTAGCAATTATCTACTTCAATCCCATTTTCATATTCCAGATGGGGGAAGCTGCACACAAACCAGAGAACTGCAGCCAATGGCAAACACGGGGCTCCGGCAACCTGCGTTGGAAGCACATAGTCGTCAGCTCTTCTCTGCTTCTGCTCAGTGATTCCGACCAAATGTGCTCACAAGGAGACGTGACTGGGGCTTGCTATTATTGAACAAGCATGCAACAATCATGAGGATTTCATTCAGAACCCTGCAGGAGAAAAAAAAAAAGAAAAAAAAAGAAACACAGCAGCAGCAGTCTGGTCAGGCTAGCGGGAGAGCTGCATTCTGTGCAGCAGCGCGCCGTCCGTGCCGTGGCTCCGGTGCTGTGGCATTTGCATGCAGAATGCAGAGCCTTCAGTCCCACACTGCTCACTATTTGGGCTCCTCTGTTTCCCCTATTCCTCCAGAGTAAGCATGAGCAAGGTCACTGTGCATCCCTTCAAGGACAGAGCTCTCAGTGCCTGCATGCTGATTTATTGGAGGCTCTGAGTAGCCTCACAGCCGCAGAGAGGGAGCCTGCCTCTCAGTGCAGGCTCTAAGAACCATTCATTTAAAGAGACAAATATTCTGATTGTTCCTAAACTAGACACAGTTCTCTTTTGAAAGGGCAGAGCAACAAGACCTTGTCCACAGCCATCGTAAGTCCTCTAAACCCCCCCCATTTTCAGGAGAGGCTCAATTCAGCTCACAGGGAGTTTTGTTGCTCATTTCACTGTGAGCAAAATCTGCCCCGACCCTAAAACAAGTTCCAATGAAAGCTTTGTCCATGAATGAAACATCCAGACTAGGAGGTTGTTTTGCCCCAATAACAGATGGGAAAGGGCGGGGGGGGGATCTATTGTCTAAGAGAATAGGAAGATTTTTGTGTGAATAGATTTTCCAACAGTTAAATCAGTGTATGCAAGTTGCTCTAGTGTGCCAGCAGCCCAGCTGTGTGGAGCAGCAGAGAGTGTTCATGGACTTTGTTTCAGCTGTAACTGGTGCTGCGTGTGAAGAAGGGCCAAAGGTAACTTTGTGCAACCCTTTCAACACAATCCTTAAAGACAGGGCTAGTCCTCAGCACGACCTACAGCAATTTAGGCAAGACAGGCAATGGCTAAAGCAGGCTTTGCCTTACCTCATTTTAAGCAACAAAAGTCACACAAGTGTTTAAGATGTGAAGCTGGTCACCCTGAACTCCTGCAGGCTGGAGAGCAGCATTTTAGACACAACTGACTTTGCAGAGAAGGTTTAGGGATCCAGCCCCGGGTATGTCCTGCCTCAGTGCCTCTCACAAATCCCTCATCTCTATTTCTGAACCCTGCTAAATGCTTCCATTATCACCTTGCTCATAAATAGAGTGGGGACCCAGGTCAGATCAAAGATTATCCAGAGAAAAGCAGGGGTAGAGGGCAAGGACGTACTGATTCTTCCTTGGAAACACTCTTCTCCTATTTTGTCATTCAGGATCTTCCAGAACAAAGGAAAGAAAACCAATATTTAAGTTAGAGAAAGAACTCTGCACTGTACTGGGAATAATACATACACCAGGGGACTGCAAGTTAAACACTAAAAGTAGTTTGATGCCCTGTTGTCAAAGCTCTGGGGCCAAATATGTTTCTTTAAATAATCAGTTCATATCAGCTCACATTATACAAGACGGTTTCCATATAGGAACTGTACCATTTTGATAGATCTAACAAAAAACCTCTCAGGAAAAGGAAAAGCTGTATGGCCATCAAAATTCACAGGCTGAGACCCCATAAGACACTACACCAGCAGATTTGTATCCAGTAGCTTAGTCAAAACCAGTAAGTTCAGAAGTGAAGGAAAATTTACTTAATGATTTGAACTGTTTAATTTCTACTGATAGCTTTGAAAACTCAGAGAAATTTGCCTCAGTTGCTCTGGGAGTCATTTTACAATAACAGCAAATTATCAGAGACTAGAATTTGGCTTCCTATGATTTTCTGTAGGTGTGACACTGATTTTGCAGATTCTTATATCACCTAGGTTTTGGTGAAAACACTTTCAGCTTTTCTACTTTAGTGCTCTCCATTCAAAGGGATTTTTTTTCCTTGAGGTCTGTGCAGTAATGCACCAAATTCCTGAGCCTGGCAGAAGCTCTTTCTCCTGGAGTGATGGTGAGCCTGAGCTGCAGCAGACAGCCTGTGTTTTCTGTCATTCTTTGATTTTCTGTGTCCTCTCATCATTCTCTGCTATATCAGGACTGGCCAGAAGATGCAGCACCTGAGAGACCTATAAGCAGGAGAGCTGCAGACCCAAAGAACAAACTACAAAGGTATCTACAAAAAATAGGAGAGGTTTTCTGTGCCAGAGCTTGCACAGGCATCATTCCTGACGTCACATGCAAAAAGAAATGTGTTTGCTGCCCTCAGCCCAGTACAACAACACTGCACTACTGGAAGCAGACCAGCTCCGTGCAAGCACAGAGAAATGGGATGATGTCTACTGACAATTTTTCATAGGATGTTCAAGGTTGTCTGCAGTATTTATTGTGAGTGAAACTGTCTGAGAGTGCAGCAGAAGTGCTGAATGAGCAGTGTCAGCACTCATTCCCTGGGCCCTTTGAGAATTTGACTTGTAAACTACAGGCCTCCTTGAAACTGTCAGGCCTCTGCAGAGAAAAAAAAAAAAAAAATTAAAAAAAATTTTACACCCTGCACTTAAACAAGAAGCAGACAACAACAGATCCCCTCCAGAGTCTGAGAAGGATTGGAAAAGCCCTCTAAGGCCATTGAGCCCAACCATTCCCCCAGCACTGAAAGGTCCACACTGACCCATGCCCCGAGTGCTGCATCCACCTGCTTTAATAACATTTCCAGCACGACAGACACAAGCTCAGAACGGGTATTTCTGCATCCATTCTTGGAGCACAGACTTCAAAATCTAAAGCAAATCTGGCAAAATGGATCTTAATATGAGGCTGCCAGAAGCAGTCAGTCTTACACGTGTCTGGCCTTTATTTATTGCATGTGAGCTGCTTGCTAAATATCACCAGAGATAATCTGTCACAAGAAACTCCTCCAGCCTGAGCAGTGAGACTCTGAGTGCTCTAACACAAACACAAACATGCTTCTTACAGTGACACACTCCAATGGGAGATCATCATTTGCTCTTAAGGCCCAATTAAGCAGGTTTGGATTTGTTTATTATTTTAAAAATAAGTTAGAATTAAATCTCAAAGACAAAGAAGTCAATACCATGCTACTGAAGCTCTATATGAGGAAAGATGAATTAGCAAGAGGACAAAATCTGGTAGGGGTCAGACTCCTCTTCTGGAGGCAATAAGTTCATATCTTTCTCTTTGTTAAAAGGACAGCCCTTCCTACTGAACTGCAGTTTACTTTTTAATGCAAATGAACTAGAAAAATTCATTTTTGATAGGCAAGCCTGATTGGGAATTTTTTAAAGTATCTTTCACTGAACCTGACATTTGAATCAGTGTTTGACTGATCATGCGTTCTAATTTCAGCTGAAAGCAAGGGTATTTGGTGTCTGGGACAGCAGATCTATATCTTGGTTGTTTAATCACAGAACATTTAACTTAACATGTAAACTCACAGAATCATACAGGTTCAGGGTAAAACAAGACATGTTTCATGTTCCTCTTCAGGATTTTTTCTCTTCCTGCCTGCTCAGCCACTCTTCATGGCTGTTATTCAGATCAACGAACTCCACAGCCAGCATTTCAGAATACTATGGGCAGTAAACAGTTTGAGGAGAACATTTCTTACAACTCATTTTCTCCCTAAATCAAAATTAAATAATGTATATTTACAGTTTTTACAATGCTTGTGTAAACTGCTAGATCTCTGATTTTGTAAAGAGCTTGCACATAGGTATATGGCTGGAAGGTTCTGCTGAATACAAAACTCATAAACATATGCTTATCAATATTAATTCTTTTGCAGATATAAAACATGAATTTATTAGCATAATCGAGTGCTTAGCACAATGTCTAGTCTCCCATCACTGCCACAAATCCATATGTCTTAAACTGAGAAAGTGAAGGAAGCTGAAAGGATTCAGCTAAGATGTAAACATTTATTTTCTTCTGAGCTGAGTTCAGCCACGTGGAGGTGACAGTGGCTAATTTGGCACCAGGCTCCTACCTGTGGAGACAGCTGAATTAGAGGACATGAACTGAGCACAACATATGGTCTGCACACTGGATGTACATTATGTCATCTCTTAAATCATGACCAATTTTCTTCCAATTATGGGTCACATAGTGCCCCATTATGGGGGAAAAAATGACCCAGTGCATAAAATACCCCTTTTTTACCCTGATGATATCATCTCTGCTAGAAAAGGAATGATGTCTTCCTCAAAGGAATAAGGTTTTCTGGCAGGAAGCTCTGCAGAGGCTGCCTTGGCTGCAGTGCTGTACATTTAGTGTTGACAGTTCCCTATAGCAGAGCCTGCTAAAATGTATAGCAAAATGCAAAACTCAGAGCTGAGGACATTTCTGCTTTCCCAGTGGTATTTCCATGTTCCTAGAAAACAAAGGAAGTTAGGGATGATTGTTATGGTCCTGTTCAGGCTCATGGCCCTGGAAGTAACTGAGAACAGTGGAAGCCCAGCCTCTCTGCAGAGAAAAAGAAACAGGACCCAAATTCATTGACTGGTATCATCAATAATAAGCATTCATTTGATTTTGGAGCACTGCAGGAGAGCCCTGGGTTTAGCAACAATTCAAGAGGACTGAGATGTTGGCAGAGTCACAGAGGGGTCAAAGGGTTTCCATGGCCAGCAGTTGCTCTCAAATAAGAAACGTGATCCTGACTCTATTCCAAACAAGTCATAACTCCCTCCCAGTTCACCAAAACCACCTTTAAAACCTCCCAAAGGAAAGTGCTGGAATTAGTAGCACTCACTTTAATGGGTGTTGAAAGATTGATATTTCTTTTGGATGAAAATATTCCTATAGTAACATCACAATGAACAAATATTTCCCATGACCAGAATAAGGATCACACATTATCTAATGCTGAAAACCACAATTAATAATTATTTCACTATTTCAACAATATATTTTTACAGCAAAAGAGAAAATATTAATCTCAGATATTTTAAAAAATATGCAATATGGCATATTAATTCGCAGAGAGAGCATATCAGATTTTGGAATATGTTTTGCTCTGTCAGTGAGTGGCATTAATCAGAATGGATGTAAATGTGAAAATGAAACTTTTCATCTGAACTATCAGCTAGTTAAAACCTTCAAACTTTTACACTGCTCTTATAATCAAGATGTAAAAGAGACCTATTATAGAAAATTATTTGGGAAAAGTTAAAAAAAAAAAAGTTAAACTGGGTTTATCTCAGTTCTGCGGTGATTTTATATTCAAAGGAATTAAGTAT